GGGGTGCTTGGGTGGCTCAGTGGGTTAAGCCACTGCCTTCAGCTCAGGTCATGATCTCAGGGTCCTGGGATCAAGTCCCGCATCGGGTTCTCTGCTCGGCGGAGATCCTGCTTCCCTCTCTCTCTCTCTGCCTGCCTCTCCATCTACTTGTGATCTCTGTCAAATAAATAAATAAAATCTTTAAAAAAAAAAAGAAAGAAAGATAAACCAGTTATTTTTCAATTGTCATTCTCAATCTGTTTGTCTCATCTATTTTTTTAAATTTTTATTTATTTATTTATTTATATTTGACAGACAGAGATCACAAGTAGGCAAAGAGGCAGGCAGAGGTTGGGTGGGGGTGGGGGTGAAACAGGCTACCTGCGGAGCAGAGAGCCTGATGCGGGGCTCAATCCCAGGACCCTGGGATCATGACCTGAGACGAAGGCAGAGGCTTTAACCCACTGAGCCACCCAGGTGCCGCTGTCTCATCTATTTTTCAGGATTATGTTTGAGTTACGAATTTTTGGTAGGACTACCACAGAAATAACATATAACATATCAGGAACATGTGATGAAGATTAGTTCACTCCTAATAAGGTTAACTTTGATCATTCTGTTAAAGTGGTATCTGCTAGGTTTCTCTAGTGTAAAATTCTAATTTTTGTGTTATAATAAGTATCTTTTGAAAAGATACTTTGAGACTATATAAGTAGTTTCAAATAACAGATACATTGAAACTATGTAAGTATCCTATTACTCTCTAAAGTTGTACTCAGTGGTTTTAGCATTAATTGAAGATACTTGCTGGAAACGATGATGATGATGATTATGATGATAAAATGGTAATCTCTAATCCAACTTTCCTTCCATATTTACCAATCAGCATTCTTGTGTAAATAAGATCCCTCTTTCCCCGTATTATTTATTTTTATTAGTATAGAATAGAGTTGACCCTTGAACAAAATGGGTTTGAACTGTGTGGGTCCACTTATACATGGATTTTTTTTTCCATCCTCATTCAGAATGGAAAGAGTGTGAGGGTTTCTATCAAGTCTGATTCTTTCTGGATTTAAGAAAGTCAGTGAGACTTCTCAAGTTTGTTTACTCACTGGTATGGCCTCTAGAAATGGGGTGTAGGTTGGAATCAGGAGCTGGCCACAATGCACTTCTTCATTCTTATTTTCATCTTTTATTTCCTGCTTTGACCACTAGTTTTTGAATTTTATGGTATTAAGATATTGTTTCCTATTGGTCACAAAAGAAGGAAATTCAAGTTGACTGATATATTAAAATTTTCTTATAAACCGTGCATTTGGAAATCATAATGAGATACCATTGCACAAAATGCAAGGAAATGGCTAAAATGTAATAGACAGATAATACCAAGGTTGTTGAGCACATGGAATAATTGGAATGGTTTTATATTCCTTAGGAAAGTGTAATTGGCACACTTTGGAAATGGACCTATCTATCAAAGCTAAACATATATCTACTCTATACCCAGAGATTATATTACTGGACATAATCTAAGGGAAATAAGTGTAATGTCCACTAAAAGATTTCTACAAGAATGTGCATGGTGGTTTTATTCACAATAGCCCCAAAGTAGAAACAACCCAATTGTCCTTCAGCAGAACAACAGACAAACTGTGGTATGTTCACATAATGGAATACTACACAGTAATAAGAAACAGCATCTTATGGTTTTATCTATTTATATTATAGATTTACAGATGAATATCACAAACATTAAATTAAGTGCATAATATATACCGACATTTATATGAAATTTGTAAGCAAGCAACATAGGGGAAGGGGATTAAGAGTCCACTTATGATGAGCATTGAGTAATGGTTGGAATTGTTGAATCACTATATTGTACACCAGAAACTAATATAACACTGTATGTTAACTATACTGGAATTAGAAAAAAAAAACAAGCAAAGCCCATCTATGTTGATAGAGGTTAGAATAGTGCTTTTCTTTTGGGTGTAGGGCCTTGTGAGGAAGTATAAGGAAGTCTTTCTGAATTCTGGAAATACTTTATATCTTGATATGGATGGGGTTTATATGAGTGATTACATATGTCAAAATGGGCTCTTAAGTTTTAATTTGTTACTTTAAGTTTAATTTGTTACTTTAAGTCAGACAACAATTAAAATATTTTACATGGAAGAAAATAGGATCCAGAAAATGACAATTCCCGTAGATTAAAAATCAAATGAATCTATAGTCATGTAAACTTTGACAAAGCAGGAAAGAATATCCAATGGAAAAAAGACAGTCTCTTCAACAAATGGCGTTGGGAAAATTGGACAGCCACATGTAGAAGAATGAAACTGGATCACCTTCTTAACACCATACACAAAAATTAACTCAAAATGGATGAAAAACCCAAATAGGAGACAGGAATCCATCAAAATCCTTAGAGGAGAACACAGACAGCAACCTCTCTGACCTTGAATGCAGCAAATTCTTACTAGACACGTCTCCAAAGGCAAGGGAAACAAAAGCAAAAATGAACTATTGCGACTTCATCGAGATAAACAGCTTCTGCACAGTAAACTGCCAACAAAACCGAAAGACAGCCTACAGAATGGGAGAAGACATTTTCAAGTGTCTTATCAGATAAAGATCTATAAAGATCTTTTTATAGATCTATTTATAGATCCAAGATCTATAAAGAACTTAGGAAACTCAAAACCCAAAAAACAAGTAATTTGGTCAAGAAATGGGCAGAAGACATGAACAGACATTTCTCCAAAGAAGACATCCAAATGGCCAACAGACACATGAAAAAAAATGCTCAACATCATTCAACATCAGGAAAATACAAATCAAAACCACAATGAGATACCGCCTCACACCAGTCAGAATGGCCAAAATGAATGAGTCAGGAAAAAACAAATGTTGGCAAGGGTGTGAGAAAAGGGAAATGCTTTTACACTGCTGGTGGGGATGCAAGCGGGTATAGCCACTCTAGAGAATGGTATGGAGGTTCCTCAAAAAGTTGAAAATAGAGCTACCTTATGACCCAGCAATTGCAGTACTAGGTATTTATTCAAAGGATACAAACATAGTGATCCTTTGGGAGATGCACCCCAAAGTTTATAGCAGCAATGTGCACAATAGTTACACTATGGAAAGAGCCCAGATGTCCATCGGCATGGATGGACATGGATAAAGAAGATGTGAATATATATATATATATATATATATATATATATATATATATATCAACCATCAAAAAAAATGAAATCTTACTATTAAAGTGATGTGGATGGAACTAGAGGGTATTATGCTAAGCAAAATAAATCAGAGAAAGACAGTTATATGGTTTCACTCTTAATGCAGAATTTAAGAAACAAAACAGAAGATCATGGGGAACGGAAGGAAAAATAAAATAAGATGAAATCAGAAAGGTAGACAAACCGTAAGAGACTCTTAATTATAGGAAACAAACTGAGGGTTGCTGGAGTGGTGGTGGGTGGGGAAATGGGTTAACTAGGTGATGGGCATTAAGGAGTGCACTTGATGTAATGAGCACTGGGTGTTATATGCAACTGATGAATCACTGAACTATATCTCTGAAACTAATAATACACTATATGTTAATTACTTGAATTTAAATAAAATTTTAAAAATCAAATGGAAAAAGTTAAATTTAGCATTGCTGTAAAAAGCATCTATTATATATGTAAAAATCCAAACCCAAAGGAGAACATATTAAAAAAAGACTGGAAGTACTAGATTTCCATTCCTTTCTTTTCTCTTGATCAGTTTAAACATCATGAAAGATCTCTCTTGTAAATTTGAAAGAAATTGCCTGTAAGCTCCTGTGGGTACAATGTCTTTCAATGGATTTCTTCGACTTTTCCAGGATTTTCTTATTGTCATGGTTCTGTTAATATCTTCTGCTTACTTCGGAATTAATTGTGGTGTCATTGTCCCTACGATGTTATTTTACGCGTTTTTAAAAAATGAGGGATGGTGGGGAGCCTGGGTGGCTCAGTGGGTTAGAGCCTCTGCCTTCGGCTCAGGTCATGATCCTGGGGTCTTGGGGTGGAGCCCCGTGGGGAGCCTGCTTCCTCCTCTCTGTCTCTCTCTGCCTACTTGTAATCTCTGTCTATCAAATAAATAAATAAAATCTTCAAAAAGAAAATGGATGGATTTGTTACTCCCTGTATTATATTGATTAGATTACTTTTCTTGATTAAATTGGCCAAAGGTGTTTCACTGTTTTCCTTGTTTCTATTTTGACCACTCATTTTTCAATTGTTCGGTTCGTTTCCCTCCTGGATGTTTTCCAGACATTCTTCTGCTTTCATTGAGCTTACAGTCTAGTTATGGAAACAGCTATTCGGTAGGAAGAAGAGTCCACAGCCCCTTTAAAACAAAACAAAACAAAACAAAACAAAAAAATCCCCCCATAATTTTAGAAACTCATTGGTGGATAATTTAGAAACCTTCAGTGAGTTTTTAAGTTTTAGTTAATAATTATTTTTAGTTTGACCTCTCTTTTTAAAAAGTCTTTCAATTTCTAATTCGCTTTCAGGCAGTTACCTTTGCCGTCAGAGTTTCTGCTTAGGAAATTAGCCAATCCCACGGTCTCACTTGTTTAGTTCGGCTTAATTTTATCAAACTAAACTACTGTTTCTGGACTTAAAAAAAAAAAACCCAACTTTTCTGTTTTTGATCTTCTAAAACAGATTTTATTTATTTATTTATTTGTGAGAGAGCGAGAGAGCGAGGGTCAGGCTTCTGCCTGCTCAACTAGGAGTTCCACGGGGCAGTCAATCCCAGGACGCTGGGATTATGACCTCAGCAGAGAGCAGACGCTTAACCGACTCAGTCACCCAGACCTTTCCTGGTTTTGATTTTTATCATCCGTCATAACTGCCGGAATTCGAGGACCCAGAAGACAGGCAAAGCCTCATCCCATTAGAAAGCTCTCTCAAACCCTGTAATTCTTGCCCTTGCCCATCCATCTCTCGCGAGATTTGGAAACCGGAAGTGAATTCTATTTCGGGCTAGTTTTCGAGGGTTGGATTCAGTCAGTGTTGGCGGGAGCTGAACGATCTGGCCGCTTCTTGCTGTCTGGCCTGGGCTGGCGCTGGTGTAGGGGCTTCCAGGCAACCCTCCCCGCCTCCAGCCGGCAGAATGCGGGTGGCTGTGGCCGGCTGCTGCCACGGCGAGCTGGACAAGATCTATGAGACGCTGGCGCTGGCGGAGAGGCGCGGCCCTGGGCCGATAGATCTTCTGCTGTGCTGCGGCGACTTCCAGGCGGTGCGCAACGAGGCCGACTTGCGTTGCATGGCCGTCCCGCCCAAGTACCGCCACATGCAGACCTTCTACAGGTGAGCGACGGGACCCGGGCCCCGGACCTGGCGGTGCGAGGTGTCACTATCCAGAGGGAGTGGGAGAGAACCGGACTGGGTTCCAATCCCCCTGCCCCTCGCCCCCGGCCTTGACTAGCTGTCTTGCTTAGTTACCTTCTTTGTTCACGCAGTGTCTAGGAACGGGCGCTTAGTAAATGTCACTTTTCTCACATCCTTTCACCTGTCTTGTCTGTTTCGGAAGGGATCGAAGCCTGAGGGAGAAACCTGCAGGAAGGAGCTGACAGGTTAATTACCTTGTACTTGATAGGACTCTGGGACTGCTTTCTTTACTGATCCAGGAATTTTTATTGGACGCCTGCTTTGTGCTCATCCGTGTTCTAGAAGCTAAGGTTCGGAGCTGACAAAGTTCTTGCTTGACCTTATTGAATGCGCGCTGGCTTGGAACCCAAGGTGGCAGCTCCTGAATTCCTAAGGACTATAGGCAATTAGTTTAGAAAGAGCTTTTTCATTTTTTATAGTGGGTTCAGATTTTTCCTTTGGACCTAATTTTGCTTTTCTGCTATGCCCAGTTTTATGGGCATCAGTTACTGCTTTTCTCTATGCCTAATTTCTGCTATGCCAACTGACAACTTTACCCTTATGTTCTAGGTATTACTCTGGAGAGAAAAAGGCCCCAGTTCTCACAATCTTCATTGGGGGAAACCATGAAGCCTCAAATCATTTGCAAGAGTTACCCTATGGTGGCTGGGTGGCGCCAAACATTTATTATTTAGGTATGTGTTCATGGGTAATTTTTGGTTTGTTTGGAATGGAAGAGCCTGTCAGGATTTGTATAATATTTGGGCAGCGTCTTGAGATGTATAGTGTTTTGGGAATGCCTCTTAATTTAAATAGTTAATTATGAAAATTTAATTAAAACAGTTAATTTAGGTAATCATGAAAATATGTCCATGCTTCATCTGGTGTTTAAGCAATATTGATAATATAATATAATGTAATAATAACTGCAAAGGCCTTTTACACTATGTGCAGTCCCTTTATTTTTCTCTTTCTGTATTAAACTTAAAAAAACTTAAACTTATTATAATGGAAATTGTTAAACATACACAAAAATAGAGAATAATATAATGAATCTTTGTACCTATTAACCAGCTTCAACAACTGTTACCATTCTGCCATCCTTATTTCAACCTCACTCCCCTCCAAACTTTTTTGTGGGAAGAAGTGACTGGAGTATTGCAAAACAAATCCCAGCCATCATATTATTTCTCCTGTGAATACTTCAGTACATATTTTTAGGAGATAAGTGTTTTTAAAAATACCACTGCTACAGTACCATTATTATACTTATCTAAAGTAGCAGTGATTCCCAATATCTTTTGCCTACTTCATGTTCAGATTTCTGTGATTATCAGCAAGAGTTTGATTTTACAATTGACTTGTTCAAATAGAATCCAAAGCAGGTCCACACATTTCATTTTATTGTCATGATTCTAAATCCTCTTAGGCTATAACAGTTCCTTTTTTCCCCCACCCCATGTTGTTGATTTGTTGAGGAAGATGAGAAATTTGTCTTACAGAATTTCCTGCTTTCTGAATTTAGCTGATTGGAATTTCCTATGTTGTTTAACACATTCATTTTATCCTTTGCAGTAATTGCAATCTGTGTTTAGATTCACAACCTGATTAGATTCAGGTTCAATTTATATATTCAATTTATATTCAGGTTCAATTTGTATAGTCCTGTTAGACTATACAGTCCTTTATTCTCTTTATTTAAATGTTTATAGTGGGGTGCTGGGGTAGCTTACTCAGTTGAGTGTATGACTCTTGGTTTCAGCTCAGGTCATGGTTGAGCATTGTGAGATAGAGCCCCATGTTGGGCTCCTCGCTCAGTGTGGAGTCTGCTTGATAGATTCTCTCTCTTCCTCTCCTTCCCGCTCTGCTCCTCCCCTAGCTTGTGCTTTCTTTCTCTCAAATAAATAAATAAAATTTAAAAAATATATAAATACTTATAGCTGTAATGATGACATCATAACTTCAGAAATGTAATTTCTCTAGTTCATTACTGGTTGATCTTTTGACAGCTCAATATTGTGAGAAGGTTTGAAGATGGTCAGTCAGAAATGAAATATAGAAACTGTAGGTTCTTTATACTTTATATTTGTTGACTTTCAGATTTATAACATACAAATCCATCATAGGACATTTTTTCTTTTTTCCTACCCAACCCACTGTAATATTCGATTAGGTACTAAATTATGTCTATTTCTCCCTTAACACACCTAATCTCATGCGTTCCTTCCTTTCTGCTTAGTCTCTTGCCTGTCTGCTTCTAGGCCTCTCCTCCTTAGTCTGCCTTATATATTGTTGGCTTATCACTATGTAAAAGAGTAACTTCATCATGACATTTAATTTTCAAATAATTTTAGGACTGCATGGAGTTCTAGGCCTTTATACTATTCATTTAGTTAGTAAAGAGATTGCTTCTGCTTATAGTAATTTTATTTAACTGTGTACTTTTTCAGGTTTGGCTGGTGTAGTAAAATACCGAGGCATAAGGATTGGTGGCATCTCTGGTATCTTTAAATCTCATGACTATCGAAAAGGTATTATTCTGAGAATTGTTTTTAAACTTTAGAACTTGGCATGCCTCAGAGTAACTTAAGCATAATATAGAGTTTGACTTTCTCATTGGATTTTTTTTCTCTGAACTATTATTACTTTTTTTTAATGAAATAGTTTATACATATGAAAATGTTGAGAACACTAGAACATACTATTTATGTATCCACTATCTAGTTTTATCAGTCTTTGTATTTTGTGACTTTTAGTTAGGATTTTAAAGAAATAAAATGGTACAGATATAGTCAAAGCTCACTGTTTATCTGTCCTCAGTCCCATTCTCCTCCTTTTATCTTTCCCTTTCCTCATCAGGCAGTCAATTCTTCTGAATTTGGTATTTGTCATTCACTTGATTATGTCATTAGGAGATGTGTAACAGCTTTAAACAGTGTATGATATAGCATGTTTCAAACTTCATGTGAATGTATCATTTTGCATGTGTCTTCCTGCAGCTTGCTTCATTGTTCAATGTTTTTGAAATCCATGTTGATACATCTCACTCTATTCATTTTAATTTGTGAGTAGTATTCCATTGTAGATGTATACTACACTGTACTTATTCATTCCACTGTATCTGAAAAGATTATACCTTGGTTTTAAAGTTAAAGGAATAACTTTGGTTCACATTGACTTCAGAATTTTATGAGTTGGCAGCTAAAACTTATATCCTCAATGTAACTATTAAATCACGAGTCTGTTCCCTGCTGTGCTATTCCCCATGATTCTAAACTATTGGCATAAGAGTACAAAAATAGGCTATCTCCTTCATGGCAAGTGTGGGTACAAACTGTCTTCCACTCTTTGGAGGATAGCTGGTAGTCTGTGGAAATTACAGAAGTACTCTGACCCAGGTGTTCTATTTCCAGAAATGTAATTTACAGATAATATTCCACAAGTGCAAAGTGATGTGTACACATTTTTAAAATTTCAGCCTTGTTTGTAATGGCAGAAGGTAGGAACTCATTAACTATATCGTGATAAAACAATACAATGTAGTGCTATGAAGCTATTTTTTTAAAAAAGTAGAGAAGCAGCTCTGTGTGTGAGGTATACAAAGAGCTCTAAGATACGTGAAAAAAAAACAAGGCACAGAACATGTATAAAATCTACTGCCATTTGCATTAAAAAAAAAGGAAGGGTAAAGAAGTCTGTATATTATGATGTGCATAGTAGATATTCCTGGAATAAAATACTAAAACCTGACTAACACTGGTTGCCTCTAGGTAGTGTTACTGGTTGCTGGGGGACAGGAATAGGAGGATCCCTGCCTCCCATTGTTTTAGCAGCTTTGTAGAGGTAAAATTTACATATCTTTGGAAGTATACAATTCAGTGATTTTTTAGTAAATTTATAGGTTATGCAACCATCTAAATTAAAACATTTCTATCATTTCCAAAAGTTTTGTGGTTAATCCCTGCTCCTACCCTATCCCTATGCATCAGTGGTCTACTCTCTGGAGGAATTCTTCTTATTCCATTCTGATGGTATCTTTAAAATTTTAAACTATGTGAATAAACAACATATTCCATATTAAATATAATTTAATTTAAAAATTCTTAAGCCCCTCAATTATTTAGATTTATAGTTAGTGATCACTTAGTAGAAAATACCAACATTTTAAGAGCAGTGTCTTCATAAAATTTTTAAGAACCAAAAACATTAATGACAGACCTCAGTTTTGGAGAAGTGTATGTATATATTTGTATTTTCAGTATTTAAGGGAGTTGAATATAGCTTATTTCTCTTCTTTAATTTAAGGTCATTTTGAGTGCCCCCCTTATAATCCAGCTACAATAAGGAGTATATATCATGTGAGAAATATTGAAGTCTATAAATTAAAACAGGTATGTAAAAAGTACATTACAGCAGACTTGTAAAAAATGTTAAAGTAATTCTGTACCAAAGTGTATTTTGATCATTTTGGTATACGACTTCCAAGAAGAACTTAATTCAGTATTTCTAAAATTTGGATCTTGAGTTGCTTTTAGGAGGTTCACAGATGAACATTTAAAATTCTAATGTTATGAATTTATTTTAGGGAGTAATAATAAAATAGAACATTTAATCCATGACTTCAGATATTACTACTTAGAATAAGGCTAAAGAATATATATTGGCATAAAGTGAAACTTTAAAGAAAATATTAAAGTATTTCAGATAACGGTATTAAATAGGAAATAAATAGTGGTAAAAAATGATAGAGAATATGGTAAAATTGTGAAGGGGGTATTGGAACACTGGCTTAACTGGAGAGTAGGCGAAACCAGGTTTTTGTTTGAGAATGCATTAAATGCCTGACACTGGGCTAAGCAGTTTCCACACAGGGTATTTCATATAATTGCCACACAATTCTGTGGACTGGTGTTACTCTGACTTTGTCATATTAAGGATGCGAGGCCAAGGCTCAGATAGGTAAGTAGCCTGCCCTGGATTTCCTAAGGAGTTAAGGGATGGGGCCTGGCTCATGCTCTCAGGCCCTCCCACCGTACCCGACAGTCTCAGCAGGAGCATGAGGATGCTTTGCAGGCATTTCTTTAATACCCTACTCAGAACAGTTCTCTGCCTTGAATGCTTTTTCCCTTTTACTCATTTCAGCCCTACCAGTCTTTGAAGAACCGCCTTAGATACCAGTGTTCTGGTTTTTTGTTTTGTTTGTTTTTTTTTCGTAGGCTCCATGCCTAGAGTGGGGCCCAAGAGGGGTTGAGAGGCTTGAACTCACAACCTTGAGATCAAGATCTCAGCTGAGATTAAGGGACAGATGCTTAACCAACTGAGCCACCCAGGTGTCCCAACAGTGTTCTAGTTTAAAACCATCAGTCTATTCTGAAATTTCATTGCACTTACTGCCTGAATTATTCAGTGATTAGTCATATCTGTCATCTTGTATCATCTTGAACACTTAAGTTATTTTAATTTAGTTTTCCAGGTATTTTTTGCAGATTACTTGAAGGTGCTGGGGATCAGTAAAGTATGGAGTGTATTTTGTGGCCTCCCTGTGAAGACACCAGCCACCTTAAATACCTCTACTGTAATTTATGTAGTAAACAGAGTTTTTTAGGTATATGCTATATGAGTCCATTAGGTGGAAAAAAAAGGGAATATACCTTTGGGTTTTACCATACTATTTACATTAGATATCTCATGAAATCTGGTGTCTGTGTATCTTAAAACAGTTTCTTCACTAGAAAGGAAAAGAATGACGGTTATTACATATTTTAGAGGCTCCATATGAAAGACCATAGCTGGCTGACAGTCTGATCAAAGTGTGTCTGCATGGCCCTGCCTTGCCGTGGAAGACAAAGGTGATTTGTGAGGAGAGAGAAAGCGGTTTCTCCTGGCTTAGATGAGTGAGTTTAGTATATCTTAGTGTTTCTGTGACCTTCTTAAATAAAGTTTCCTTGGAATGAATTACACAGAAGTCTAAAGCTCGAAGTGGGCAAACGGTTGTGCGGTAGTGGAGAAAGAGTCAGGGATTGCTTTTGATCTGTGTTTTAAAAAGTTTTCTTTCTTTTTCTGTTAAAGCTGAAGCAGCCTATGGACATATTCTTATCTCATGATTGGCCAAGAAAGATCTATCATTATGGAAATAAGCAGCAGCTTCTGAAGACTAAATCTTTTTTCCGACAAGAAGTGGAAAATAACACATTGGGAAGTCCTGCTGCCTCAGAGCTCTTAGAGCACTTCAAGCCTACGTACTGGTTTTCTGCACACCTTCATGTGAAGTTTGCAGCCTTAATGCAGCATCAGGTAGAAACCAAAAATATTATTCTTTCATTGAACAAACATTTACCAAATATGTATCAAATAACAAACACTTATCAAACACTTATCAAAAATAGTTGTAAATTGAGAGAAAGATATCAAATATAACTTTGCTTTTGCAAGTAACTCCATATCCTTGGGAGGAAGAGACATGCAGGTGATTATAAGATAGTGTAATAAATCAGTGATGAAAAGTGCCAGGAGACTGTGGGAGTAACTCTGCCATACTGTGCTCACATGGGGATGCGGACAGGAGATGAAGAGACGAAGGTTTTCCAAAGGAATTGACTGTCCCAGAAAGCAGTTGAATCTAGGTGACGCCATCCAGATAGAGTGATCAGTGTGTGCAGAGACTAGTGGCCTGAATGCCTGGCACTGGCGTATGCTGGGGGACTGCAGCAGTCCCTTTGATTGAGGCAGAGGGAGAGATGAGGCTGGAATGAGATCATAGCTGCCTTCTGGGTCATGCTCTGGAGTTTGAGTTTTAACCAGAAGGTAATGGAGAAAGTTGGGGAGTGATGAAACCAGATTTTCATTTCAGAAAGGTTAGTTTCATAGCAGTTTTGTGTATGGATTGTAGGAAGGAAAATGGGAGGCGTATTTAAGCAAAAGATGAGATTCTAAACTGTGGCAAAGAGGGAACACAAAGAACACAGGTTCCAGAGAGATTTTGGAAGCACAGTCATCAGGATTTGGTGACAGAGAGGAACTCCCAGAATTTTCTTTGGGAAACTGCTTGAATGATAGTGTTTGATGGAAGGTAGAGAATAAATTTATACTTACAATTGGGCTTTTATGGAATGTGTGGTTCTCTCTTTCCCCTCCCGTTCTCACCAAAATCTGACTTTCCCCATAAAGTATTCCATAGGGAAAATGTTTAGAAATTCAAGGTTAGAGATTTCTTCTCAAGGGCTTCTATAATTTCTGAGAATCTCGAATGTGTTAATGGGCACTGGAATGTGGTGTGCAGTGCTTCCTGAACTTGACCCAACACTTTTCTGTAGTGGGGGTGCACTTTAATGATGTTACTCAAATGCAGTTTGGAAAGTTATGTTTGAAAACATTCCTGTGGGCCCTTGCTGTTATGGGCTTATCCTCACTCCCCAGTTTCACTGAGATGAAGAGTCAAGGTTACTCCTTTTCTTTTCCTTTGGGCCACTGCGAAGCAATTATCCTCTTTTAACGTCCAAGTCATCCATTTATACCCATCACCTTTTCTACGTCTGCGTTATTGTCTTCTATCTCCTAGGGCTCATGACACTCCTGGATTTTTACTGAAGCATCAGATTTGGTACTTTCCTCCCCATCCCTCTTCTGTTGTCAACCTTAGGGACTTCAGTTTCTGAATGAATATGTGTGATCCCTTTTTCTTAACTCCTCAACCTTTTCTGACTTTGCCAATGTTCTATTTTAGCCCTTTGTCCAACACCAGAAATCACCTTTCCTCAGAACTGCCTTGCTGCTACCGTCTGTCTGTAATCTGTGTGCCTTGCACTTCTCTTAGTCCATCACCACCAGTGAACTGAAACCTGGCCTACAGCAGGATGGCACAGACCCTGCTTCCTTGTCTGTTTTTCTCCATGTGCCTTACTGTTCTCCCTGAGTCACTTTTTTACTGCATCCAATATAATCTTCATGTTTGTGACCCACCACCTTCTGCCCCTGTTTCTTTCTGCCAGTTAATTTTTAAAAAATAAAATAGTTTCATTGGCGTATAATTTACATAATATAAAATTCATCTATTTAAATGTACCATTCAGTGAGTGAGTTATAGTATATTTCCAGAGTTCTAGATGTTTCCAGAGCAAACATCACATAGCCCAGTTTTAGAACATTTCCAGCACCCCAAAAGATCTTTTGTGTCTATTTCCTGTGAGTCTTGTTCCCACCCGCAGCCTTGGGCACTCACTAATCTGCTTTTTGTCTCTCTGGATTTGTCTTTTTTGAACATTTATATAAGTGGGACCAAAATCTATAGTCTTTGGCTTGTGGTTTCTTTCCTTTGCTTGTTTTTGAGGTTCTTTCAAGTAGCAGGTTTAGTATTTCTTTCATTTTTATTGTTGAACAATATTTCATTCTGTGAATGTATCATATCCACTTTCGGTGTTATATCTAAGAGATCTTTGCCCGACCCAAGGTAAAAAGATTTTTCCCTATAATTTCTTCTAAAATTTGTTTAGAAGAAATTATACAATTTCTTTCAATCTGCCAGATTACTTTTAAGCTCTTCTGTTATCATTAACCTTTGTATTATGTGCTTTGATTTAACTGTATCATTATCTGATTCTTTTTAAATTTATTTTTAAATTATTATTATAATTTAAAAAATCCAGTATCATTATCTTCAGCATTTGTGTCTACCTTTGACTTTTGTAAGGAAGTTGAAGCCCAGAGAGTTTAAGTACCTTGCCCGTCATTATACAAGTTGTTATAGAACTGACTTATTTTGGAATGGTGACAGTTGTTGCTTTGACACATGACTTAGGGGTATGTTTATAAAGATTGCTTCCATCCTATTCTGTGTATGAATTACCTATGATGTTTTAACATTTTTTCTTAAATCATGGTTCACATTTCTAGGCCAAGGATAAAGGACAGGCAGCCAAAGCAACCAAATTTTTAGCCTTGGACAAATGCTTACCACATAGAGACTTTCTTCAGGTAAAAAGAAAATGAAATAACTTGGCAATATAGTTTTGTTCTTCCAATGACTAGAAACATAATAATTTTCCCTTTAGAATTTATTTATGCTCTATAATTTATATATTCTAAGAATTTTTTGGGAATACTTATGTTAGTGTTTATAAGCTATTAAATTCCACTTACATTTTGTTATATTGAAATTCTTTGAATATTAAAAATAGAAATGTATTTCTTAAAATTACTGATTTCTTTTTATAGGTGATAGAAATAGAACATGACCCCAGTGCTCCTGAGTACTTAGAGTATGATATTGAATGGCTCACTGTTCTCAGGGCTACTGATGATCTTATTAATGTGACTGAGCGTCTATGGAATATGCCTGAAAATAATGGCCTGCATGCAAGGTAAGTCTGACCTTATTTAGGGTTTGCTGTCCCTGTTGCGTGCCCAACTTTTGTCCCATCCACCTCTTACTTTTCTTATTTTTTTAAATCAAGGGAGTTATTGTTAAATGAATGTCAGAGTAATTCAGGGTTTACTAACTGGTATGGAAAACTATAAATTTTCCTTCTAAGGGATATAAAAATGGATGATGGAATACCAACCCAAATAAGTGTATAAATGAATGAGCATGCATAGAACTGTAAAATGGCAGAGATTTGGTTCACACATTAAAGTGATTTATACTTGTTTTAGAGGGTGAATTAAGAATAGTTTTTTCTAAGAATTGTTTTTATTTCAAAATGGTCCTTTGGAATATTAACTATAATTTTATTAGATGGAATTTTTATATATGGTTTATATGAAGTCCATATTTAGATTTCATCTTTTGTTGTCTGAGGCTAATAAAATGTAAAAAGCTATTGTTTTGGACTTTTGTAGGTGGGATTATAGTGCAACAGAAGAAGCTATGAACAAAGTATTGGAAATACTGAATCATGACCTCAAAGTTCCATGTAACTTCAGCATAACAGCTGCTTGTTATGACCCTAGCAGGCCACAGACACAAATGCAGTTGGTTCATAGGATCAGTCCTCAAACTACTGAATTTTGTGCCCAACTTGGCATCACTGACATGAATGTCAGGCTTCAGAAGGCCAAGGAGGAACATCACTTATGTGGTGAATATGAACAGCAAGATGATGTGGAGAGTAATGACTCTGGAGAAGATCATAGTGAATATAACACAGATACATCTGCCCTGTCCTCTATTAATCCAGATGAAATAATGTTAGATGAAGAAGAGGAAGATGAAGATAGTATTGTAAGTACGCATAGTGACATGAATACACCATCTGTAGAACCTTCTTCTGATCAAGCTTCTGACTTCTCTGCAAGCTTTTCTGATGTCAGGATCTTGCCGGGTTCCATGGTTGTATCTTCTGATGATACATTGGGTTCCCCAGATGGCAGAGAGGGGAAACTTGGTGAGGCTCCAGAGTCAGGGGATGGAAACGACTTAACCGAGTTGCCATTGAAGAGGCTGAGTGATGAACATGAACCTGAACAAAGAAAGAAAATTAAGAGGAGGAATCAAGCCATCTATGCTGCAGTGGATGATGATGATGCAGCATAAGACAATTGAGTTGTCTCCGTATTATATGTAGATATGTGATTTTTGAGACTATATTTTTAGAGTTGGATTTTTGACTGAAGATTTAACTTTGTAATAATGAAGTTACTTAAGAGAATTTTAGTTAGGTATTGACTTTGTCTTTACTCCTTTGTATATTTCAGATGAAAATATTAAAATTTCATATATTTACTTGATCGAGTACCTTTTTTTGGAAGATGGCTATTATTCACTTTCATTTTTTTCAGGAAGCACTTAATGAATACCTACTTTCTACCAGGCACTCTTCTGTAGGATGGCTCTATAAAGATGAGTAAGACAGGGATTTTTACCTTCAAGGAGTTACTACCACTATGAATATTTTGGTGTATAAAATAAGGCATATTTAATATTTTGTTTTGTGAAATCATTACTACGTGTGTAATTTTGTATGCTTTCTTTTTATTTGTTATAAATATTTTCCTGGTCTGCTCTTAATGTCTGTCAAATATAATTGAAATTGAAGATGGTAGATAAGGTTTCAGGAAATAAATTCTTTAAATACTAAACATTGGTAAACAAAATTTTACACTAAATGCTGAGATTCATACAGCCTTGTAGACTTCGGCATATTTTAGCTTTAGCTTTAATTTTAAGGTAGCTATAGTGTTTCAGGTCATTTGGGTACAGTTCAGCTTAGTCTTAATTACTAGTGGGGACTGAGTTGCATAAATGCTGCCCCTTTGCTGTTATGGATTGCTAGTAGTAGAATATTTTTAAAGATCTACATGGAAAAACTATACTTCTATCCTGGTTCTGGTTAAAATGCCTGGGTGACCCACAGAGATGGTTGCCCTATACTTGGGTCAGTAGCCATGAATTCAGATTGTTCTAGGATGTCATCATCCCATAGTAGTCCACATCCAGAGGTCAATCTAGGAGAATGATTTAGTAGTTGACGTCTATTTTGTCAGCATCTGGCTTGAAGAAGGTTGAGCACTTTATCCTTATTGTCATCTATTTTGTTTACTTTCTTTTTTGAGCGAATTTACTTCACTAATTTAAATTTTCATTATTTACATGAAGTATTTAAAAACTATGGATTTCCCCTATTGCCAGTTTAATAGAATCTATTAATAGATTTAATAGAATCCCATAGTTGTGACATAGAGGTCTCTCCCCCGAAATTCTTTAATAAAGATAAATAAAAGCAGAAAGTAATTAGATGTAAAATAAATAACAGAGTTTGTTTAAAAAAAAAAAAGACATCCTTTAACTTGCTCAATCAAGAAAGAAAGCACAAATGCCAAAAATAAATTAAAAAATAAATAAATAAAAGGGAGAAATAGCCAGTAAAACAGGGTATTCAAACAAACATAGGATTACCCTCATAACTTAGTACAAATAAATGTGATAAATAAGGAAAATAGAATTCACTGAAATTCATCCTACTGGAGGTAGAAAGTGGCAAAAATTTCCACAGAAGGAATAGAGAAATTTATCAAAGAATTAACTCCCACAAAAAAGGGCTCGGCCTAAATGGATTCAAGAGGAAAGTACCAAATAATCACTAATGTCAGGTAAACTTACAAAACGTAGAAAAATGAAGGAAAGTTTAGTTTTCTTTTTATGAAGCAAGTAAAATGTTGATATCTAAATCTGAGTAAAGATTGCAAAAAAACCCACAGACCAGTCTCACATATGAATATTGCTGCAAAAGTCCTAAATAAAATACTAGTAAACAGAATCTATAGCACATTTTAAGGTGATTTAGCATGACTGATACAAAGATGGTTCGATAATTAGGAAATGTGTTCATATAACTCACATAGTAGTAGATCTAAGAACAAACATGGTTATCTCCGTGGATGATGAAAAGGCCTTTGGCAAAATTCAACACCCATTTCTGATTTTTTAAAAAGTAAAATCCAAGGGTACCTGGGTGGGCTCATTTGGTTAAACATCCAACTCTTGGTTTCTGCTCAGATGATGATCTCATGGGTCTTGAGATGGAGCCCCTCATTGTTGGGACTATGTTCAGCGTGGAGTCGGCTTGAAGATTTCCCCCCTCCCTTTAAAAATAAATAAATCTTTGGGAGAAAAAAACCTAGCATCTTGTTGGCATTCTCATCAGAGGAAAGTAAGCAGAAGGTCAAGGAACAAGACAGGGTATCTGCTACCTCCATTACACTTTAACATTGTATCTGTGTAAAGAACAAAGCAATTAGACAAAAGAAAAGAGGGAAATCAAGATTGCAAAGGAAGAGGCAAGTAAATATAGATGACCTGAATGTTTAGGTGGAAAACACAAGAAAATAAAAATTAAAACTAAATACAGGACAGTAATAAGTAATACAGTAATGTAATAAGATAAAAATTAAAATACGAAGCAATAGCTTTCACATCTACAAGTACCAATAACTAGTGTGATACAAACAATATCAAAAGGAAATGCTTAACAAGAAATGTGCAAAGCTTGTAATGAGTAAAACTTTAAAATACACCCCAAAATGCAGAAGTAGACTTGAATTAGTGGAAACATCTCTTACTCTTGGATAGGTAAACATTTTAAGGATGCCAGTTCTTCCAAAGTTAATATGTAAATTTAACAGGACCCCAATGAAAATATCAATACATGGTTTTGGTTTTTGTTCGTTTTCCTGGAGCTAGGCGAGTTGCCCTACTGCCCAAAAGAGCAGTAGATTATACTGCCCATATCACCTATTAAAACATACTATAAAACCTCTATAATTAAAACAACATAGTATTGGTTCATGAATGGACAGACCAATGGAACAGAAAGACAAGAAATAGGCACAAACATGGAAGATTTTAGTGTACGATTTAAGTGGCATCTCTAATCACTGAGGGAAAAGATGATATTTTAAATATACAGGGTTGAATCTCTGGGTATCCACTTGTAAGAGAAAAAACTTGTATATATATATATAAATGTCATAATGTTTATGCATATATACATTATATATAATGTATATATAATATATAACATATATATGTTATATATGTTATATATAGAAATATATATGTTATATATATAAATATATAACATATATATATATATATATATATATATATATATATATATATATTCCAAATAGACCAAACTTATACATGAGAAAAATGAAACATAAATAGCATATGAAAACCTGAGTAGGGGTGCCTGGGTGACTCTGTTGGTTATGTTTCCAACTCTTGGTTTTGGCTCAGGTGGTGGTCTCAGGGTGGTGAGATGGAGCGGGGATCTTGATCAGAGAGATACAATGATGAGAGTTTTTGGAGCTCCTTAGTTGCAGACGCAGCACCCTGACAAACCTATTTTACCCCCTCAGAATTGCTCTTTTCTATGCGTAGGGTTTCAGCCTTCCTTTCATCTTCTAATCCCCATCTCCTTATCTCCTTCCAGTAGATTCCCCTCTTGTTTAATTTAGCCAGCCAGAGTTTTGGTGCTTGCAGCCAAAATACCCTGACTGATACATATGCTCCTGAGTGTTAATGAGCTTGTAATTGGAACAGGGGAGGAAAGGCAAGATAAGAAAATTATGGTCCTCATCTATTATGATTTTCTTTAATTCTTATTTATCAGCTTAGGCCATTCATTTATTCATTCAAGAAATATTTATTGAGATAAATACATCCCAGGAATTATGCCAGGGATACAATGGTGAGAAAAATCAGGTATAATTCCAGGCTTCATGGAACTTATAATACAATAAGGGAAATTAATAAAAATAATCACCTCAATAATTATGAAATTCCAACTACAGCAGTGTGGCAAATGAGGGGAATGTGGTACTATAGGAGCAAATCAGAGGGGCATTTGATTCACAGGTATTGTTTAATATAATACCAGAGATCGTGGTCAAATATAAAAGAAAATAATAGATATAGAGGTTGGAAAGGAAACATCATTATTTGCAGGCCATCTGTATGTAGATCACTCGTATAGAAAGTATAAAAAGCAAAATAAAAAGATTCATAGAAATAAGGTCAACAAAAGTTTGCCAGGTACAAAGAGAATCTCAAAAATCAGTAAAATTTTTTTCAAATAACAATAACCGGTAAGAAGAAAATGATAGAAAAACAACACAACAACAAAAATAAAGTGTTTCTGGAAATTAATTAATAAAAAAATTTTCAACACTTCAAAAAAAAAAAAACCGTATCAAGGAAATAATTTAATATTTAAATAAATGAGAAAATAGTCCAGGATTCTGAATGTGATGGCTTAACATTATAAAGGTGTCAATTGTTGCCAGATCAACAAATATCAATGATCACAAACTACCTAGGAGGAAGTGTGGACTCTGATCCTGGTAATTTAACAAATCTGGAAAGTTAAATTTTAATATAAATATAGTAGTGATATTATGAAGATTCAAAATCAGTTCCTAAAAGTATACAGAAGTCTGGTGACAAGAAATAGCATTGTGAAATATTGATGTGACTCCAATTTTTATATTTAATATTTCAAATATCAATGAACTCCCAAACAGTTGATTTCCTTTGTCCATTTTTGGACTTCTCTGTGGATTGACTTATTGAATCCAAAGCAGGAAGTTCCTAGTGATTTCATGAATCCTTCATTAATAATTGTATTAAACTTCTGAACTTTCTTCATAGGTCTGTGTTCAGTCACTGTTGGGATACCCAATTATTCTTTCTTAAATCTATTGTTTTTGAAATTGCTTGCATATACACATGGTACAGAATTCTGATAGTACAAGGTACATCCAGTGAAAGATCTCAGTCTCGTCTATGTCTGCCAGTCACTCAGTTTTTCCCAGGGTCAACCAACATTATCAATTGAATTTCTTTCTCTCCTCTCTTTTGAGAAAGGTAGTGGCAATCTACACATTCTCCTCTTTACTATGGTTTTTTCCCCCCACTTAAAATATGTTTCTTGGAGATGAATCTATGTCTGCATTTAAAAGTCTTCCTGCTTAGGGGCGCCTGGGTGGTGCAGTGGGTTAAAGCCTCTGCCTTCAGCTCCGGTCATGATTCCAGGGTCCTGGGATGAAGCCCCACATTGGGCTCTCTGCTCAGTACGGAGCCTGCTTCCTCCTCTCTCTCTGCCTGCCTCTCTGCCTACTTGTGATTTGTATTTATCAAATAAATAAATAAAATCTTTAAAAAAAAGTAAAAGTCTTACTGCTTTTTTATGGATGCATATTATTCCATTGTATAGATGTATCTTAATTTATTAAACCAGTCCCTTCTAATGGACATTAGGTTGTTTCTAATCCTTTGAAAATAAAAACAGTGAAAATGAAAATACATGTTACTTTGTTCATGTGCAGCTAGATCTCTAGGATAAATTCCTGGTAATAAAATTGCTGGACATATGGCATATTGGTTTATCATTTCAACAAGTATAGTTTAACTGTCCCCGGCTGAGGTTATACAGATTTATGCTCCCAGCAACATGTTTGAGTGATTGTTTTTCCACACTCTTCCCAATGCCTTGTATTAATAAACTTTATAGGCATTTGCTCATCTGAGAGGTAAAAATATCCCAGGGCAGCTTTAACC